TGTTCTCCTTTATGAACCTGTACCACTTTGCAGTCCTTAGAGCCTGCATTAGAGATTGCTACCAAAAGGACTACAGAAAGCAGCGTAAGGTTCTTGACAGGGTTTGTTGTCTCACAAGAGCCATTAGTAAACTCTTGAAATCCCTTTTGAAACCCTTTTTGCTATTAGTAAAATTAGACCATTAGTGAGCATTCCCTGTTTGAGTCTAAGCAATATCAGTGGATACCTAGATTTAACTTCACACGTGTGCTGCAATGGGCTAGGATGACTCGCACAACTTCACTATGGCTCAGCAGCTGGCAGTGGTGAAAAAGCAACTCTGGGCAGTCTTTGTTCAAATGGCTCTGCCTATACCTGGGAGTTCACATGGCCTTTACCTAAGCTGTAACAGCAAACTGCAGCAATACAGCTTTTTTATTTTTTTTTTGGGAGGATGGGGAGAGGGGGGCATGTGGAAGAGGAATGCCAGTTCAAATCAAGCTAGTACAAATTGGACCTTGGCTAGATATATGGTCACATCAGACATATGGGTCAGAGCTTCGCTGAAGAAATGGTTGCACTGGCTAAAGATATTGCCATCTCTTGATTGTAACCCCCTGTGGCTCTTGTCAGTTTTGCCCCATCTAAACCAATGGTTTGGGATCTGTGAACACCTCTCATCCAGTTTGCTACAAAGGCTGGCTTAATTTACAAAGAGAGTTGTCCGAATTAAGTCAACCCGCTTAGAACTGAAGCAGATGGAAGGTGTTTTGAGGACATTCATATCTCCTGTGGGGACACTGATCTCCAACAAGAGGATAGAAGTGCATGGCTGGAGATGTGAAATGTCTGTTTCTGCAGGGAATGCTTGCAGGGAGTGCTCTGCTGGGCTACATCAATCTTAGTGGAAGTGCTGGTACAACTCCAATTGATGTAAACTCAACTGTTTTCTTCTAGATGTAGGCTAAATCCTTTAGTTTCATAGTAACTTGTTTCATGGTGTGTTTTATGTTTGTTACAAAATTTGACCAGTTTAGATTAAGCTATTCTTGTTCCAGGCTTATATCGAAGTACCGTGTCTTTTGGAATTGAGAGTCTGTGAAGTACGTTTATTCAGCTAAATCAGTGCTAGAAGAACTTAAATGTTAACACTTGGAGTTAAGAAATTTAATAGAGAATCTTATGATAAAAAAATCACAACACGTTAATTCACGAGGGGATTTTGGTTTTCCTATCTTAAATAGCAAAAATTTTTCAGAGACAGATTAATCTTGCCGTTATGTTGTCTGCCTCTACCTGCTGTGATTCACAAGAACTTCTAAACTAAACATGTGTCAAGGTTTAGGACTTGCTTAAAACTTGTCACATATGTTCAAGTACGGTCATGACAACAGATGCTGTTCTGAATTAGGACACTAAAATGTTTCACACAAAACGAGATATCATTTTTGCGTGCATTCACAAAACATGTATGCTTGTTTTATCAACATATGAAAATGTTTACTTGTGGAAAATACAATACAAACAACTCTTGCTTTCATTTGAGTTCTCTAGCTGTAAAACAGGGTTAGTATTTTAAGTTTAAAAGAAGAGTTGTAGTTACAGTTGTTTGCTGATTTTTGTTACTATATTAGGAACAAAACATTTATTTTCAGTTTGGTCTAACTGATAGTATCACTTTAAGTTACCATATTCAGATGCTGAAATGCCATTATTTAGTATCTAGTTTGTTGGCTTTCCCCTTCCCATAGATTGAAGGCAGAAAAAATAAACAGAGATAAGTAAACACAGAGACATCACACCTGCTTTTTTTTTTTTAATTAATGTAGTGTCAATATAGTTCTCCTGGAGACCTTTTCTGGGTATCAGATTCCCAGCCTTATAATGAAGGTAACTTTCAAAATGGGGATGCTGGTAAAGAAATACTGATCAATTTTCACACTCTGTGCCATTTGTTTAAGATCAGAAGTCATCCCTGTAACTTCAAGAGCTAACAACCTGGGGAACTGTAAAGCAGTTGGTAAACATTTCTCATTGTGATACCTTGCTTCTTCCTGCCTTCTGCCTAAAGCCTCACCAGCAAGGCACACAGAGGAATGGGGACAACATAAATTGCTCAGATGCTGCTGTTGCCTGACTGCCTTATAGGGGTGAGATTGGAGTGACACTGCGGAAAAGTGCTGCTGTTTGTTGTTGACACAATCTGCCAGAAAGTGATTACTTCTGGCCAGGGACTTGCAAGGAGCTGCAGTAAGGGTAGATGCACCCTCTTTATCAGCTTCAAGTAAGATAAGAGAGGAGCCAACCAAAGAGCTGGTCCTGAGCTTTTCAGTCAAGCCCTGTGAACACAGGAGGTGGTTAACCATTAGTGAGGGGCCTGCAGTACTCTTAGTTCCAACAGCAGGTCAGGTTGTCTACATGGATAAGGGGAGTAGGAGTCCATGGTATTACTTTATTAGTCCATATAACTCCACTTGTGCTCAGCCAGGGAACTGTAGGTCTGTAGCCTACATCTTCTGGCACTGTTTCCCAGTGTGCAAGTGGACCACTACAGTGGGAAGATGAATGATACCTGCCATTTTTTGATCTATTAGTGTTTCATCCCAAATGTGTTCCTGTATAGGTATTCAGTATTTCTGAGAGCTTCAGGATCAATAGATGCCTAAGGACTGGAGGTAGCAATGGGGAAAAAAAAGAAACAAGGTTGAGGAAAATCTGAGTGTCCCTGGCTTCCTGGGAGCTGGGCTGAATGGCCTGCTCCGGGGTATGGAATGATGGACAGTGCAGCCGAAGTACCTGCTGACTAGAAAGCTTTAGGTTCTCAAATTCCTGTTTAGGGCTAGGACCAGATCTTTAACCAGATTGGGCTATGTTAAATCAGTGATGGACAATATTATGGAAAACAATAGGAAACAGTTATCCCCCTGGACATTTATTAAAATCTTGTGCATAGAGACCTTGGTCAAGCAAAGCTGTCAGCCTGGGTGCCTTGCAGTTCTCTGAGGGCAGACCTCAGGCAGCCTAGGCTGGGAGTTGTCAGGGGGTGTTTAACTCGTTAAATCGTAAGGATCCTGGATGGAAAGACCTGTATTAGCCAGACTGAGTTGTTTATTTTTATTTGTTTGGCTTTTTTTTTTTTTATTGGCGACAGCTACTGATAGGACTTCTGACAGCTACTCAGGCGTTCTTGTTTCCTAAAGGCAATGTAAAGCTTAAACAGTCAAACCAAATTATTTTTATGGTGACACAGAACTTTCTTGTTAGGGGCTGGCCAGACCAGGTCTTTTTAATGTCAAGAATTTCCTGTAGGATCATGCAGGGATTGCTGTTGTTGCCTCTTCATCTCTGTGTATGTATGAAGTGGAAATCATACACGGACACAAGAGCTTGCCTTGGTTCAGATGAGCAGTGTAAGTGCCCTGAGCAGCTTTTCCCACTCTAGGTTAAGAGTGGCTTACATTAGTTTAGTTAGAACCTGCCACTAATTGACTTGAGGAAGTAAGAAGCAGGAAAATAAGATAACCCATGCAGTGACTGGCACCAGTTTAACTAATGCCACAGGTCCATGATCAGCTTAAGCAGGATAAATAGCTGCTGCTGCTAAAAGGATGTAGTTCCCCTCTGTCTTACACCATGGCCTATTTGTTCATACTGCCTCCCTCACACTGCCATTACTATTTGTGCAACTGTGAGTGAGCTAGATAAGGGACTTTATCTAAATGAAAACTAGCCTGGAAAAAAAAGGCGGTTAGCTTTCATTTGGATCAGTTCCCTGGTGTGGTTCGCTACATGACCTCTAGCAGTGGCAGGAGCAGGAGGCAGGGTTAATCAGACATGGCCATGTGAGGGACAGCCCCTTTCTGTAGCAGAGCTGATTTATACTGGATTACATTGACTGTGGAATTTGTAAATAGATTTCAGTCTACAAATGTAAGCTGGTGTTCTCCTCCCTAGGAAATCAACCACAGTCAATATATTCACATGATAATGATACCACCTTCTAAGCTCTCATTCTATTAGTGCTGACTAATACAGAGGAGGAGAGCAGTCATCCCGCGTCTCTGTGACAGCATACAGATGAAGGTTAGTACAAGCAAGATGGGAGTGATACTCACAAATGAAAGGAAACAGCTACACCAGTCCCTTGGAGAGAGAACCTTATGCAGGTGTCATACAAAGATGTAAGGCTCTGTCACAGACTGACATAAATTTATGGAATAAAACCAGCCTCATAACAGAGCATCCCGTTGGTTTCCCTTCTACTGAGTCTAACAGTTAGTCATTAAACGTGATGAAAAAAGTCAATATGATAATGAAAGGGTTTTATAATGAAAATTAATGTAGTTTATGTCCTTTGTGTACAGCAAAACAAACAAACAAAAAATCTGCCAGTACACAGAGGAAGTGTTAAGAATATCCCGGTTATCTTCTGCTGAAAGAAATGTTCTTTGCCAAATGAACCAGCAT